TCCTTCAGCTGATTCATTAACTGGGACGAGAGAATCACAAATAAATACCTTTACCAGATAGCAATAATAAAATCACTTGGCCCCCGAAGGGCATATTTTCTTTATTGTTTTCTCGGGCGCGCAGGCCGATAGACGAAATAAAACTCTTTTTAAAAAACACGTCTACTCAAATACTTGTATCCACTAAAAAAAACGTTTTAAGTAATAAAAAATATGTCGAATTAAAAAATATAATCCATTAGTTTTTTAGTTTACATTATGTTTTGAAATATCAAATTTGAACGGGATTTAGCACAAATACACAGACATGCTCAAAGAAAAATATATAAAGTTTTAGCTCGCACAAGTTAAACAAAATTATAAATAAACACACAAGTGGTTAGTAGATATGTATCGACATAAAACAAGAGTAGACATTACTCCTTCATTTTTTTTGAAGAAGTAAGATAACTTTATAGGCGACGACGATCACATAAATGATGAAAATATCTGTGATGTTGACAGCAGTGATGAAAGTGTCATGGCGTCTGTTTTTGACACGGACAGCAGTGAAGCAGACTAAAATATATTTAATATCTATACGAATATTTTTTAAACAAATGCAGTGTTTGCTTAGCGATTTAAACACTTTGTTTCACATAAAATATACTTTTCGCCATACTGACCCGAAGATGGCGACGCATCTGTTCGAAAAAAACGTTAATATTTAGTTCTCGTTCATAATACGAACCGCTAACTTTTAGACAGAAAAATCTTTAGAAAATGCGTATTATAGACAAATAATTAAAGTATACGTTAATCTGGTATTAATGTTTTTTAATGATTGATCAATTCGTTTTTCTACGGCTTATCAATACTTTTTTCAGGTTATTTAAATCCAGAGAATATTTTATTGTAAGAATTTCAATTCCAGCCGGATTAATTATAATCAATATGCGCAGATATCGTTGGAAAAGGAATGGATCCTCCTTTTCTTCCCTCGGCTATGGGTTAAATAGTAAGACTTGTATCACTAAATTATTATTATCTTTAAAAAAAAATAGGTTATTGCTACCGTATGTTTTTAATCAATTTACCCCAAGGAAGTATATAATGCCACTAAGATGCAAGGGGCTACTGTTAGTGATTAATTGATTATTGCTAACATATCTTTTTTTAATCATTTCTCCCTAATTAAGGCGATGATGCCACTAAGACACAATCAGTTACTGATAGTGATTAATAGATTATTGCTATTATATCTTTTCTTAATCAATTCACCGTAAGTAAGGCGATAATGCCACTAAGACACAAGGGGTTACTGATAGCGATTAATAGATTATTGCTCTCATATCTTTTTAATCAATTCACCCTAAGTAAGGAGATAATGCCACTAAGATACAAGGGGTTACTGGGAATGATAGAGAACGAGAAGAATTTAGAAGAAACCGTAAACCCAATCCTAAACAGGAAACAAAGGATAAACCTTTACTCTTGCTCAAAAGACCGGGTGGGGAGTGTAACATCAGGGCTGGATTTGTTCAATCCTCAGATCTCAGCCCCGATAGTGTTTAAAATCGCTTATGTGGTCTTGGGAAGCAAGTAAATCTCCAACCTATTTTCCGTGGACTCAATCTTGATACATTGTCTATTGATACTGGTTACTTCCATGAAAAATGTTCAGTTCTTTACTTCCACCAATTCAGACCTTTATTATACCACACTCCACGCAAGTTCCGAGTTGTTGAATCACCTTCATTTCCCCCGAATTCCAAACGTAAGGAGACAAATTCATTCACAAAACTTTTCTTTTTCTTTTCTCGTTTGTGAGAAAGACGAACGCATTTATGTCTTCCTAAACATTATTATATAATCTTAAAATCTTCAAATCAATCGGCAGTTTTTATTTATCCTCTTAATCCTCATAATCTTTTATCTTTATATTTCTAATTACTCTACTTTCATTATTATTACACACATTATTCATCAGAACTATTTTAGCAGTAATTCTTTAGCTTGAGCGGCTCTCGTGCCTTGCATTTGATGAACTTTAGTATAAAATCAGACTGAAATAGAAAGAAAGAAAGAAAGAAAGAAAGAAAGAAAGAGGATTAACAGAATAACGAGGGAGGAGGCAGGGAAGAACTGAGCAAATGAAAATATATTCAAATGGAAATTAGTGAATTAATGTTTTTTGGATTTCGATCTGAAAATAATAAGCGATTCAATTAGGCTTTATATTCGCATGAAAAATCCTGTTTTTAATGAAACCGTGCGTAAATATGGATGTATGCACTCGAACAGAGTTGAATAAACTAAAATAAAATATAAACTTGGTACAAATAGATAGAAACAGAATAAGATAGATAGATAGATAGATAGATAGATAGATAGATACGAACGGATTGAGATAGATAGATAGATAGATAGATAGATAGATAGATAGATAGATAGATAGATACGAACAGATTGAGATAGATACGAACAGATTAATATAGATAGATAGATAGATAGATAGATAGATAGATAGATAGATAGATAGATAGATAGGAACAGATTGAGATAGATAGATAGATAGATAGATAGATAGATAGATAGATAGATAGGAACCGATTGAGGTAGATAGATAGATAGATAGATAGATAGATAGATAGATAGATAGATAGGAACCGATTGAGATAGATAGATAGATAGATAGATAGATAGATAGATAGATAGATAGATAGATAGATTCTAAGCTTATCATGTACAAGGTAAAATGTACAAAACAAAAGGAATAGAGCGAAAAGTATCTCCTCCTTGCAAACCACCCTCTTCAAAAGCTAACCGATGCAATCAGTGCTAGCAAGATCGTTCAAGTCACTGCATTCTATCAAGCTCGAGTGATCGACATAAATTAAAACAATGAGAAAATGATATCCAAGGTCATACTTTTATTGAGTATAACAATAGGCACAAATGAATGTTGACATTATATTGAAAATTTCGCATTGAAAACGCTCAAAGGTGTATTGTTTTATCGTATGTCTTATCATAAAAGTTAAGCGGGAAAGAGCTTTTCCCAGTTAGTATTAGTTAAGATGCACGACGTTATCTTAGAATGGGAGTAAAACTACTTTTATATCAGAAACCATAAATTATGAAATTTACATTCTATTTTCATTATAGTAGCTGGCATACAATTTACATTGCTTATACTTTCACGCCAAAGAAACCAATCCAACCATATATATATATATATATATATATATATATATATATATATATATATATATATATATATATATATATATTATAAATTAACTGATTTAAAATATGGTTTTTCGCTACACAGTTTTAACCATGTTTCAAAAAAAGAAGCTAAAAGCTTCGAATTTAATTTTGTAATTAAATTAAAGATATTAGTTCCATTTCATCCTCAATTTATAAATATGTATGTGTGTGTGCTTCCGCATATGTGTGTGTATGTTCCTGCTAGACTGTGATCGTCTGCGTGACCGAGCAGTCTAAACCACCCGGAATCAAACGGCAGTTTCTGCTATAAATGGGTACGCAGATTCGTACACTTCCACAGGAAGAGGAGACATTTTCTTATCATGCTATCTCGAGTGTGAAAGACGATAGACGTAATAAAATACTTTTTTTTTTTTAAAAAAAAAAAAAGAAAACGGCACATCTACTCAAATACGGGTATCCAGTAAAAAAAATTTGGAGTAATAACGCACACACAAACACACATACACACACACACAAACACTTTCTCTCTCTCTCTCTCTCTCCCTCTTTCTCTCTCTCTCTCTCTCTCTCTCTCACACACACACACAAACACACACAAGCACACACACAGAGGCACAACTCCATGAACATTTGTTCTCGAAAAAGCTCACCCCATACTGAAAAGTTGATTTTACCATATACTCACTGCTCGCTAATACCATGAAAAGTCCTCAGACGAACTAAATCCCTAGGTTCCCCTAGTCCCAATCTTCCTGGATATGACTCCCCCATGCCAATGACATTGTAGCAAACCACCGACAAGCCCTCCGTGTTCTATTCATGGGAAGTTAGTTCCACTTGAATGGTTTCATCCGTCGAAACACTTCTCTGTTGAACCGAGTCCCAAGAGAACGTTTTCCCGATAACTACAATCATAACCTATTCAAGCCTAGAGTTAACCGTTATCTTCCTATCGTATAAACTCCCTTTCAATGTAACCCTCTACCTCGAGGGTACCTCACTGTAATAAAAAGAGGTACTTTTAAGTAACCTTGAGCGCGGCAGGGTCGTGGGGGCCTGACAGGCGAGTCTGGGCATTTCATAATCTCCAAAATTTAATTTTATTGTTCTCTGAAATAAAATGTGATCAGTTTAAATGCATCTGAACATAAAAATAATGTTCAGCTCCATTAGACATTATAAAATACTCTTTAAATTTCGTTCATTTTAAAAAAAAAAAAAGGTAAAATTCGGACATAACTTATTGGATGACCTGATAGCATTGACTGTGGTAATAGTTAAATAAGCCGTTTCTATACAGGAAATTATCAGCCTTCATTGACAGAAGTGTTTGTGTAACTGTCGATTGGAAATTATAAAATCTTTATCATATTATTATTAATACTGTTAGGAAAAGTCTTCTCAAGTACATTCTGTAGCTGTTTTTAATCTCGAAGGGTTTCTTTTCAAACTATTTGTTTAAGGCAGTGTAGAAAAGTTGACAGTCTGATTATATCATTATGTTCTCTTCTTGTTACATGTGCTCTCCATTTTGTTATTCATATTGGAACTGTTCAGGTGATGCATTTTCTCCCTCCTTTTTGGTATAGCTCTTCAATTGGAATTATGAAGCGTCAATGTAAAAGGACTTATTAATCCTTTTTTACATTTCGTGTAATTTCCCATCATTGGATATCGTTTGCGATCTTGTACAGTATATCAACCTGTTCTTCACCCATTACTTAATATTTGTGCATAAAAATACTGTAAGAAAAGATTAAACAGATTAGAATTTACTTCGTGGCTTACGGCCATATCACGTTGAAACACCAGTTCTCGTATGATCACAGAACTTAAGCAATGTTGAACCTGATCAGTATTTAGATGGGTGACCGTTGGGGAATACCAGGTGTTGTAAGCTTGAATGTAAATGTGACGTAATTGATAAAGCCTCGGGGTGAGAAATGGGAGAACCGAGTTCGAATTACAGCCGGGTTTGTTATATTCACTTACGTGCAAATACCCTGTGTAAAAATATGAATCAACCCTTTCTCCTCCCAGCTATGGGTTAAGTAGTAAAACTTGTATCAAAAAGTCATTATTATTTCAAAAAAATTAAAAAATATGTTTCGGCTTTGAATAACCTTGTTATGGTCCAGGTTAGGACCAAGGAAGAACAACACGAACACAAGAGTAGAAATAACGAAGGTATATTATACGAAATAATAATACAAGATGTGGAAGGTGTTAGTATGACTGTCAGTCTGGTTTGGAGTGAACTACTATCGGCTCGACTCGATTCGGTATCTAGCCTCGTCCGGGTTCCTCTCTGCTCAGAGGCAGAGAGTTCGACCGTCAAGCCGAGAAGCTCGGCTTGATTCGGTATCTAGCCACCCCACCACGTGGGTTGCATGTGGCACAAGGCCGAATTTAACGTGGGTTTCCCGAGCCCGTAGGCTCGACCAAAAAATGCCCGTAGAACCCGTATAAACGGGATCGGGTTTGTCAACTTCCAGGAACGAGACTCTGCCCTTCCGCGGAGCCTCGTCCGGATTCCTCTCTGCTCAGAGGCAGAGAGTTCGACCCTCTCTCTTGAGAGGCGTAGTATACATAGTGTTAGGAAGGGTTCATTCTGTAGTTATAGGTAAAGACCCATGACAAACCTCAAAAAGGTTGATAAGCAGTAAATACAAATCAATCTATCTTACTTATATCTGCAGCCATCAGTTATTTTGACAGGTGTAAGCTGTTGCCTGTTACTTTATCAGAGGATTAGGTATTGCGATTCTATGTGGACTTTTCTCCTTCAGAAATGTCCAAAAGAAATCGTATCCTGCGTGCGAAATGGAATCACTGCCAACATATGTCCCTCTTACATACTGTTATGGGAACTTACCTATAACGATAATGGACTCTTCCTGACACTATAAATACTGCGCCTCTCAAGAGGTATAATGAATGGATGGTGTAATGAGCACCAGGTCATGACTGTTGAACTCTCTGCTTTGGCAGAGAGAAAGCCGGATGAAGCTTTGCCGAAGGGCAGGGTTTCATCTGGGGAGGTAGACAGGCCCTGTACCCGTCTAGGCGGGTTCAAAGGGTATATTTTTGGTCGAGCCTACGGGCTCAAAGAAACCCACTTTAATCTCGGCCTCGTGCCACATATATTCCTCGTGGGTGGGATATTAAATACAATGAATGGTGTATCGAGTCGAGACAATATTAGTTCACTCTAAACCAGACGGACAGTCATTACTAACACCTTCAACTTCTTGTACTATATTTATGTTGTAATATATCTTTGTTATTCTACTCTTGTGTTCATGTTGTTCTTCCTTGGTTCTAATCTTGGACCATAACTGTGGTGCGAGGATATTGGACCCTAACACATGCAAACTAGATTTACCTTATTGAATTACTCTAGAATGAGATTTAGTCTGAAATCATCTGGACTTGATTGGATATTGTTCTATTTACCATCTGAAAAAAAACTTTTTTTGTCTCAATTGGTTTATTTTAAATTATAATAGAATAATACATTACATAGTACATTAGTGTTGCATCCTTAGAAATGGCGGGATATTTCTGTATAGATCAATTAGACAAATATATACTTTAGTATAAATATATTTAGTGTAATAATTGAGAACGACATTCTTTATAAAGAATCATGATTTCTATGACTTTACCCTGACCTTCATAATTTTCTGTCTGCTCTGTGAAGTATTCAACTGCGCATACAGTTGGCCACGGCTGAATAGAAGCAGCATCAAGAACAACTCTATTTTCTCTAAGCATTTTCTTTGACATGCATTTATTTATATATTACCGTTTGTCCATGCATTGAATCTGCAATATTATCGGTTCAGACTTGGCATCTCAGCTTCAGTCGCTTTCCCACGGATGCAATTTAGTTTCCCTGTGCTTTTTTTCTATATTTTCATGGTAACTCTTCTGATGAGCTTTCCTTTTTGGTAATTCCATTTTCTGAATTATATATAAAGAAATTTTTAAAACTATGGTGCTTTTATTAGGATCCCTGCGAAGAGGTGGTGCAGTGGTACATGTTGGACTGGTTATAGAAGTGTGGGCTCTTGAGGTGACTGAAGAAATTGTTAGTGTCCTTAGTCGGATTAAGAGGTGTAGGACAGTGTTGACTAGCCTTTCTCCATTTCACCTTCGGCTTTGTGCCAGCAATTAATGCATCCACATAATTTAAACATAATGCAAATTATGAACGTTATGAAATTATTATGCTTCAATGAAGAAAACCAGTATTAATAACGTTGTTTTCAATTTAATATTACTGCCACATCTGATCTGGTGCCCTATGCTATATATTTATGATAAAATACAAAGAAGGATCTGCAATGTTATTGGTTCTGAAATGGCATCTCGGCTTCAGCCACTTTCTCGCCGCCTTAACGTAGCTTGCCCGTGACTTCTCCATAAATACTTTCATGCTAATTGTTCTGATTAACTTTCCGCTGTGGTACCTAGAGTTTATGAATTTTAAGCGTGTTATGGGACCTTACCCATAATAACATAATTGACTATGCCATACGTAATAAATATTGCGCCTCAAGAGGAAGCAGAGAGTTCCGTCTGAAGTCTGGAGTGAAGTCCATCAGGAGTCTGTCAGTCAGAGCGAGCGAGTCAGTCAGTCAAGTCAGAGGCAGTCCGAAACAGTCACGTTCAGACAATTACTACTAAACCTGTTTGTTCTTACTAACACTTTTCTACCTCTCTGTATATATTCCTGTTTGTAATATATCTGTGTTATTCCATATCCGCCTGCGAGTTCTTTTTTATTGGTTCCACCTTGGACTATCACCGTGGTACAAGGAACCGGACCATAACAAAGAGCAGTACTAGATTGGCGACAAGGTCTCATCTTTTTTACCGTTGAAATAGCTAGAATTAACTGCAAGTTCTATGCTAACGTTTTCTTCTTGCTTGTGGAACTCTCTTCCGGATTTTTGTTTCCAGACAATTTTGATGTTCAAAAATGTAAATGCAATGCCAATCGTTACCTTCTGTTGTCTTAATTCCTGTTCTTTTATTGTCCTTAATAGTAGTTTTTTTCTCATATTTTCTCATACTCAGTAACCCCTCGCGTCCTAGTGATTTATTGCTTTACATGGGGTGAAATGATTTAAAAAAATACAAATTCAAGAACTAGTACTATTAAACAGGATTATAAATCCGTTGCGATTTGATGACGGAAAATGATAAAATGTTTTAACTTTGGAATCATTGATCCTACATAAACTCAGCAAAGCAATCACCCATCGTATCACAATTTGTTGATCCATATACTGCTTTTTATTTTTATTTTGCTCCATTACTGTACAATTTCCACCCGATCTGTAGCTGAAGTGTGCGAACGTATAACAGCGCCCAAATAAGCTTTTAAATCTATATATAAAATTCTGTGACTTTTGTTAGACCGTCCGACACACACAAAGTACAGTTAGTTTTACTAGGTTGCATAGCTTAGAACAATACATTTTCATTATTTTTTTTTTCGAAAATTAAGTTTTGTTATTTAACATACGAAATACGTCACTATTTTCAAAACAATTTGATGATTAAAATAACAAATACTTATTTAATAAAAATACAATATTATTTTTACCTATCTTTAGGATTTTATATATACAAGAATCCTGTTTCCAGATCGACATGCGTTTGCGAGAAATATATACAAATCACAAGTCCAAATTCCTCAAAAAGCTGTAAGTTACCTCCAGAAAGAAATATTTGTGCATGGCCAATTGTATGTTGCATGCTCAAGAGTAAGAAATCATTCGCTGTTGAAAAGCACAAAGGAAAAAAGGAAGTTTTTTTTTTTTTAATTATTGTTTACCATGAAGTCCTATAAAATTAAATTAAAGAAATTATTAAACCCCCAAGTATTTTTGCAAACAAAATCAGCTTCTGTCTATATTTCTGAGAAGAGGTATTATGTACACTATTTACATCATTCGGACTATTGTCCTCATTTTTATTGCCATATTTATCACACCGATTCGGGCGATGTATGTTCCGGCCTTCTTCAGATGGTTGGAATGTCTTCAAGGGCACAGCACAGTGGATAAAGGTGTTGGTTAGGTCCAGTGACAGGACCCAAAGAGTTGTGAGTTCAATACCTGATTAAGGCAGTGGAGAACTTGTAAAAGGGGAATTAACAGGAGATAACTGATAACTGACATCCATTAGACATGGCACGTGGAACTAGAACAGTCTACCCCAGCGAGCGAAATAAAGGGTTCAGTTGACATTCCAACCACCTGAAGAAGGCCGGAGCGTACAACGATCGAAACGTTGTGATAAATATGACAACAAAGATGAGGACAATAGTCCAAATAATGTAAATAGTGTAAAATCATAATTGAACTAAATGTAGAGTTTGTAAATCTTGACAAAAAATGTTAGCAATAACATCAACAATACCTAAATATTGTGAGGAATTTCAACACACATCAGCGTGTTGCCAAAAATTCTATTAATTAGATAATTATATCGATTTTCTTAACAAGTTATTATAGTGTTTCTATTCTAAAGCCAGACAAATGCAAAGAGGGAATACAGTAAAAGGTGACACACCCCAAATACTGCAAAAATAGATTTTGAACTCATTGGTTCGCCTGAGCATCATAGATGCATTGCATGTGCATTGGCAAGTTGACCCGAGTTATTCGTTCCAAGGTGCGCCGTGCTGATCTGCGTATTCCCTCAACGCCATTGGCAACGCCATTGGCAACGCCATTGGCAACGCCATTGGCAACGCCAACTTATAAACATAGGTTAACTTATTGAGATGTGCACGCGTCGGAGAAAAAGCCATGTAGTAGATATATAAGCATCACCCTGAGACGGGTTGGAAGAGTGCCTCTTCCATCTTGACAAGAAAATA